GAGAGAGAGAGAGAGAGAGAGAGAGAGAGAGAGAGAGAGAGAGAGAGGATGGTGGGTGGAGTGGGCGGACGCCATAAATGGCAAAATGTGAAGAAGAATGACCGTGACGGTGGGGAGACACTGCTGTGTGTGTGTGTGTGCCTCTTCCTCCTCTCTCTCGCTGGTGTTTCCCTGCTGCTCCATGGGAGAGCTAGGGGAAGACTGCAGCGGTGTGTGTGTGCGTGTGCTCTCGCGGTAATACGCGTGAGAGGTATCTGTTGCTATAGTAAAGAGCCATAGAAGCGGTTTGTATGAGTTACTACTATTCTGTTCATTTGCTGTCGACATTTTACACAACGTATTACAAACAATGACTGAAGACGTTCCCTCCGCCCTTGTTCTTTGTCTCCTTTAGAGCGCATCTTTCTGTTGAACTGATAGCGTGCGTTACCGTCGTGGATGTCCGGGCAAATGATGCAGAAACGCCGTACAGGGACCAACTCATTTTAGAGCTAACGTGAGATTAGATTCAGGCAGAACTTGTTATTTTTCAGTTGGTCTGGTTCATTTCTAACCAGCATGCAGAAGCCAATGGTTTCCACACCCTTTAGTTAAAAGGCACCATCTGAACAGCAGCAAATTCGCACATTTGTTTGCATGAGTAGATGGGGATTGGCTAAGACGTGGGAGTGATTCAGGAACCAACAGAAACATGTTTTGGACCAGTACTCAGCTGGAGCATTCTTCTTCTTTTTGTAATGAATGGTTCAACATTTGGGGGAAACACGCCGCGTGTTAGATGAGCAGAAACGACTCATGTCCGTATGCTAAATATGAAGCAACAACCAGCAGCCGGTTATCTTAGCTTAGCATAAAGACTGGAAACAAAGAGAAGCAGCTAGCCTGGCTCCGTCCGACGATAATGAAATCTGCCTACCAACACTTAGCTAACACGTTTGTTTAACCCGTACAAAACCCGTGTTCGGTTGTTACGTGCGGGACTATTTATTGGCAAGATGCACATACACTTCACAATGAAATACAACGTGTTGATTATTGAGCTTTAGAGGTGATGGCAGGCACATTTTGTTACCTGTGGACAGAGCCGAGCTAGCTGCTTTCAGTCTTTATGCTAAGCTAAGCTAACCGGCTGCAGACTGTAGCTTCACTGTTGCTCTTAACCCCTTGTCGGCAGTAACCAAGGTAGTCGTGGAGAACTCATTTTCAGGTTCATCCTTTCATTTTGAATTTATACTAGAACATTTATACTCGCTTTAATGTTCAAACAATTGACAATTGATTCGCCTAAGGTGTAAAAGACTGGATCACGATCCCAAAAAAATGCTCAAAAAGCTCAAACTAAACTAGAGAGACAGAACAAAATGTTCCTGCTGTCACTGTTATTTCCATTACAACATCCCTACGGTATAACGCACTGTTTTGACTGGTGGGCTGAATCGTAGAGTTCACATTAATCCTGTTGAAAAATAATAATATTTAAAGACGCTGACGGCTGCCACGGGGGCCCCCGCTGAGAGAGACACACACAATGATGGATGAGCGACCGCCGCTTGAGCCACACCAAGCGGCACACAGCCATACCATATATGGGCGCGTGTGTGTTGGTATAAAAAGGGGAAAAGGTTAGCTTAAACTCTGGAGCACGTGCTGCAGCGGATGAGAAAGCAAAGTGCTGGAAGTTTGCTTCATACCAGTGTTGAAGCTGGCTAACATGTCTCTGGCACTGACGCGCACAAACACATTTTTCAGCTTCTATTTCACCAGGCACGGTGCGCTCAACGTCTGTTTTCACTTTTTCTCGCTCTATCTCGTTTCAGCCAACAGACACACGGAAGAGTGAGGAGATTTTTTAATGACGGCCACCGACGATCATTTCTCAAACACGGCCGACACTTCAGCCGGAGATGTATCGGTTCTCAAAACCAAGCCATCTTTCTCTCAACTGATACTTTTTGTAACACAATACAATTACCAATTTTGGAGTTACTGTTTGCTTTGGATTGTCAGATATTGTTGCGTGTTCCTTTATTATATTTGATTTTCTTTTTGCCATGTCTGAAAAGAGAAACAGAAAGGCGTCGATATGTGTTATGATATTAATAAAACAAACATTAAATGGATGAATGATCAGACAGTTTGAGCCAACAGAAACCTGGATTGTGAACTTTCTGGCAGAAGGAATCTGTATCATGCCAAAACACTTAAGCATGAAAACATATCGGCTGAACGTTGGGTAAACAGCGTTCACCTTCACCACCATTTTATGCACAAAGACTTTTCCTCAACTCAGAGGACTCTATCACTTCGGCACCACGTGTTCGTCCGACAGTGACAGCGCTGCATCACTACACCGGCCTGTCCGCCTCCTCTTTGATGCCTTAAGTGCAGAATGTGAGACAGAGCAGCACTGATCTCACATTAAGATGAATGCAGATTCTGTCATCAGCTGGCTCAGTGCCGGTGAAGATTTAAGTGACAGTGGAGACCATAACATGCCAACTGATGGACTGAAACAGTGACAAACTCACAGGGGGGGGGGGGTTAGTTTCTTTAAAGAAACTAAGACACAACCAAGTGTGTTTTTGTTGTCTTCTCAATAATAGTCGATGACAATGCACTGCGTTCTGGCTGCATTACGGTTCAGGTCGACAGACGTGCTGCGGTATTCTAGTCTGGAGTTTCTGTTGTGAGACGGCAGCACAGCTCCTGAGGAGGCTTTCCTCTGCAGCGGTTCAAATCCATCACCCTCCACTTCACAAACACACACACTTCCCTATGAGGGGAGTGCTGCTGCCACTACTGAACACATTCAAAACAAACACAAGCCTCAGCCTGGTGTGTCTGCTGTTGTACTATCTCTACTGATTGGACGTGCACCATTCCTCTGGAGTCATTTACAGTTCGATTTCAATAAAGATTCTAGTTGTTGTCGGCATATTTTGGGTTAAAAGTTGGAAGAGCCGTCAGAAGAAAAACAGAGTGTTTGAGGCAGAGGTTTAGAATCTATTACCTGCTGAGATAACTTCACAGTGGGATGTTTTCTCACTAAACAGACCTGCGCCTGCTTGTTTTAACGGGCTGCAGTTGTGTTTCCCTTTGGATGACTTCAGCGCTGAGCGTGCGTTATTCTGCGCTCTATCTTCCTGTCACATGTCTCACACACCTGCAGGAAAGAATCACAGATAGGAGGTCAAACAGACCGACACCGCCGTCTCTTTACTACACACCCAAGAGGGAAATGCGTGGATTTTGTTTTTCTTCCTGTTTTTCTCTCTCTCTCTCTCTCTCTCTCTCCCCCCCTCTCCCTCTCCCTCCCCAAACATGGCTTTATGAACCACTTAGGTCACACAAATATAAACAGAAAAAGGTAACAAACATACTAAAAGTCGTGTTACTTAAGCGCTGAATTCAATATAAAGACATTAGTAAGAATATACTTTTCTATATTACAGTATACAATCATATATATCATTATTTCTACATGAAATAATATTGAATCAGCCCTCACATGCACTAGATATCATAGTTTAATAAGGTAGCATAAATAAGAGAATCAAACTTATCATTTTCCCTTTGAAGCGTACTTTGAGTTCTACATAATTATACAATTGTGTTTCCTGCAAGCCGTATTTGGATAAAACTAATTTGTCTGACAGAAAAGGTAACTACGGGCTTTTTTTCAGTGTAGTCATTCATAGCGTGACGCTTCTGCTAATGGAAGTCCTCCAGCTGGAGGACACTGAGAAATCACAGTATGACTCACATGGATGGTGGTGGGAGCTAAAAGTAGTAATACTGGCAGAAAGAAAAATACAGCATAAAACAATCTAATGCCAGAAAAACAATCACGTTGTTAGCGTTGGACTGTGCCCAAGCATCAAAACTAAAAACAAATGCATTGTGACGTATAAACTTGTCCGACATGTTTCCTCAGACGCTGCGAGGATGGCTGGCTGACCTCGGAGCTCACCGATTGGTTCGCTGATCTTCGCTGGCCGCAGCTGCCGCCATGGCCAAAAGCCCAGAGGTGAAGCTGGCCGTGTTCGGCAGAGCGGGGGTGGGCAAGTCAGGTAAACTGCTCGATTAAAGTGTTCAAAGTCTGCGTAGGTCCTAATTCACAGGTTCTTTCAAAAGTCTCTTAAGACTACAGTACAGTTGTTTTTGCCAAAAACTTTTAAGTGGAACTATTTCCAGCATTTAAACTGTTGGGTATCTGCAGGTTTCATGGTGTGTTTTATCCTTATTGGCCTCATTTATGTTGCCACTGTGTGTCTCAGCATGACCTCTGCTTTCTAATGTTTTCCCTCCAACATCCTGTCAGTATTTTTATACTCGCCACAAGTTCTCCTCGTGCTTTTGTTTGCGTAGTCAGCGTTTTTGGAGGAGGTTGTTTGCGGTCTGGCTTAAATACACCCTCCCTCCCACAGATTAGTCCGTCGAGTCATTATTCAGTTTCGGCGTTCCTCTGTAGGCTGCGTTACCTCGGCCTCAGCTGGGGCCCATGTATGTTTCCTCTGGTAGCTAACATGATAACACGGACCATATGTTTCCTGCCCCGCTGCAAATCAAGACGGATCGCTTCGGCGTAGCAATCAGCTGTTGGAAAACATGCCTTGAGATCTCCATGTCGGAGGAGCCCATTAAAATGCCTGAGGAGGTCAACTGAAGTTCTGTACTGCAGAGTTCATAACCGTCAGCTGAGAGGAGTGTGGCTGTAAAACACGGCAGTGAGGCTGACGGCGTCTGACATGCACGTCTGAAACAGAGACATTGAAGCTCCTTGAACTAAAGAAAGCGCACCGCTGGTCCTGACCGTCTCCCCCTCACTTAATGAAGCCCGTCATTCCTCTTGATCAGCTGTCACCTGCCCTGATCTTTCACCACAGCTGACATTTCTTCTGTTTTCTTCGGTGACTTCCTGCTCTGTGGCTGCTCAAGTCGTGTTCGTCACTTACAATACTAGAAATGGTTGAAAAGGTTATTGTTCAGGCGTGACTGTATGTCACAGCTCCTTTTCTATAAAAGATAGCACCGCAGTGCAGCACATGTTCACCAAAAAAATACAATACCAACTCCCCTTTCACATGAATGGTTGATTCATGCAGCTCTGCAGTTGCCTGATCCTTTTCAGTCGAGGCCGTGCTCTTTTCGATAGGAAAAAAAACAGCCACACAGCAGGACAGTAGTCAGCGTTGTCACATCTGACGCCACATGTAGCCCTGGTGATCCCTTCAACAATGAACGGCCCTCAACTAAACATAGCTCTATAGTGGAAGCCCACGGATGCTAATGAATCAGCCTTCCCTTTAACGGGCAAACATCGGGCCGTACACCCCCACTTCATGCACACTATAAAAAATGTTTGTTTTGAACCTTGTGGTGTGTTGGAGTGAGCACTCTCCGGTCTGTATTTACTGTACTTCCATCTCAGCTAAAGATGTAACATGCTTTAAACAGAGGACCACAGCTCAACCTACCACCTACTCTCTCTCTATGCTTGAATAAAAATATCCTGTTCATCCAACAGTGCTTCCATCGTGACTGCGGACAGCAGTACGTGTGCATGTGACGCTGATGTTTCTTACTTTATTTGGACGTCAGCGTATTTGTGCTTTCGTGGTGATCAATCACATCCAGGAGCTGTTTGCTCCCCTGCTGGGTGGAAAGAATGCGTCCGTAACGAGCAGCAGCAGACCTGCTGGGGGCCTTGGCGTCGTTGGGAGTTGGTTGGGCCCTTCGTGATGGTCTGACCCGGACTCCTGCAGAGCCATCCAGCCCCAATAAAGAGCAGAGCGTACTACCTCAAGTCGGTTGTTCTGGCACTCTGCAGCCTTTTGGTTTATTGACTCAGCAGAGGGAAACTGGGGTTAGGAAATCAGATTTGTCCAATTACTGTACCTCCAACTTGGTCCCTGCTATAAACACAGACAGTGAGTTCATCTCAGTAATTAAAATAGTCATAAGCAAGGTTTGGAGAAGTAAACACTCCAATGACTATATCTGTAATACTTATATTTTACTCTTATTATTGACGTATTTAAGAGGAAAACAGCAGCAAATGATTCACGAGTAGGTACTTTACTGCAGAGATCCAGACTCTAGAGTCTTTTAGCTTCTTTTAGCTCTTTGTTTTTTTTGTTTCACGGCCCAGAACTTTACTTTGTTTACTCTCACCAGCTCTGTTTTGTACACTACCAATCCAGCATCAAGCAGCAGTTAGACAACATTAGTGACTAGCCGGTGAACACAGTGGAGCATTTAACAGCTAAAGAGCGAAGATATTTCCCTCAGGAGTTGGTGGAGACCAAAACGGAGCTAAAAGGAGAGCGGATATCGGACACAACTCCTACTGAATGCCAACGTTGCTCAGTGTCTGCAACTGAACTGTGAACAAACAAAGTTGTGTTTAAAACAACGACCATAACTCACTGAAACACACGTATCATTGAGGTCTAACAAAAATGGTGAATGCGTTGCCTTCCTCATGAAATATTTGCAATCATTTAATAAACAAACTAATGATTACCAATAAAAAACAATAAAATGTTAGTCACTACCTGGCATTTAACAAATGATATGAAGAGAAGCAGGCTTTTTATTGTTGGCACACGCACACATTCGCATATAGAGATGGTTGGACGTTCTTTTGGGAAATTAACTTTATAGGGTGCAAAGCGCCGGCTCGTAAAAAACAACTCGTCTTGTCACTCCCCAAACATTCCGCCTCCTCCCCTCAGCCTGTCTGACGGCCAGGAAGCAGAACAATAACAATGGAGCGGGCCAACATGTGTCTGCCTCAGGAATACTACAGTTTACCACCTTCAACGCCAAGACGGGACCATGAATCAGCCTAATGTACGAGTCTGCAGCATGATAACAGTCATTGAGGGGGCAACGCCACAGAAACAAACAGCGCCGGACGGACTGACGGCTACTGTGCTGGATTGAGAAGTCATGTAAAAAACTCCCAACAGCCATGTGCTTTTTACAGTTTAGTCAACGTCTGGGATGGTGACGATTACTGATCACTTGTCAAACACACTGTGTCCGCTGATTGTGGAAAAAAATAGAAGGCAAAGACATTTATTATTATTATCATTAATATAATATTAGATTCTCCGGCTGAGGAGCCTACGATGTGTGAGGTAACATACCAATGAGGTTGAGTTTTCTTGCTTTATTTATAATTGTTTTTAATCTCAGGAGGGATTACCGTTCCACAGATGCGGACTAAATCATGCAGATTATTTCCCTTATTTTAATATTTGACATTCTATATAATTGTATTGCATTTGGAAGTCTAATTCCTGTTAATGCAATACAGTCAATGAAGGAGCCATTGTACAAGATAACAGCAGGTCTCTAAACGGTTTCGACAACATTACATTGTGGGCTCATGTTAACGACTTTGAAATAGGCCTCCTGCTGAAATCTTTTCCACTCAAATCACTATTGGAGGGGTCATGCTGCTTCAAAAATCAACTTCCTGCGATGCCTGCTGGAGGATATGAAAGTTCTGGACAGTAATCAAATAACATCCATCAGGGCTCTCTGTGCTTAGCGCCTCCCTCTGCACACCACCGGCCAATTAGCGGGATGCAGAGGCTTGGGGACAGACGCCGCATATCTCGGGCCCTTTGACAGCGGAGAGAGAGCCACACAGCTGTGAAGCTGGCCGGCTGTTTGACTCCCGGTGATTACATTCTGCGCGTCGAAACCCGGTGAGCCGCCCAAAGCGGTGACTCATCGCATGCATAAGTGCTCTAATCAGCGCGCCAGAGGTAGCTTTGACTCTTTTTAGATAAGAGAGCCGGGAAAAAGGTTCACGAGTGGCTTTTAAGAGCAACTGCAGCGATGTGAGTGTTCGGATCATTAAGTGACTTTCATGTACCGATTAGGAGTGTGTTACATAAGACTTTGGTCGACTTCACTTGAGCGTTGTTCTTTGTAATTGTGCTTATTTGTTCAGTTTGTGTAGAGCTCAGACTCGGAGGTCATGGCATCTTGCTGATGTGTGGCTGAAGTCGAGTAGGCCATAGCAACAGTACAGCCATGTAAACGACCAACACTAGATTGTGATATTGAACAGGACGAGTTATGTGGCCGCAGTGTAAAGGAAGTAGTTTTAGGGCTATTTCCTGTCGCTGTGGGGATGTGTGCAATCTTTGCAACAGACAAGGACAGGAAACTGCTTTAGTGGAGTATTTTAAGGATGGGAAAGACATTCTTTGAGATTAGGAAAGACAGGAACCACTGAAGCGAGACAAGTTATTAATTCTTCATTCAAGAGTTCAGAGTTTTATCTAAGCTGCCTGTAATACAGAAAACTGGCACAGAGAAAGAAAATGTCATGGACGTCAACGTCAGGCACCGGTGGGTTTCTTTCAGCCTTGAATGGCTTTTGATTTGTCTGAAAGAAATTGTGCTTTTAGTGCTTTTTCTTATTCTTTCCCTGCAAAAAAATGCTGAGCTACGATGAACAGCGTGTTTGTGATTTAAGGAATAACAAAAGCAGAAGCTGCACAAATGAATAACGTGGTATTAACAATGGACTGTGATGTGAAAGGAGTCGCTTGTAGGGATGAACTCACAAAGAATTCCACTCTGCGGTTACCCATAACTCTACAAAGCGTTTTATCGTCTTTTGGTTGTTTTGGTTCAACAGTCAACAACTTTAATATCTTGGTTCACCGCTCTCATCAACTCTGCTTCCCGCCTCAGCGGCAGGCAACTGTTTTCAGTGGAAAAGCTCCGATAAACCTCGCCAGTTGCTATAAATCAATATTAGCAAGTTGCACCGATGGAGACAAATGGATGATTAAACTGATGGATAATCTATAACATAAAGTATATCAAATGATCAGCTGCATCCTTTATTTGTGTATATTACAGATACCCCTCAATCTTTTAACTTGATCTAAAAAATGCAGGTCCTGGTGCAAAACTGTAAAATGGATAAGATTAAACAATTGGTTGAAATCGTTGGGACCACAAAAACACTTGAAATTGTACAGAGTGAAGCTTCTCTTGCCTCATTTACAATCTTCGGCTAAGTACAACCAAGTTATAT